CCTATAAACCCCATAAACCCTGTAAGCCCTACAACTCCTATAAACCCTGAAAAGCCCCATTATAAACCCTATAAAACCCTATAAAACCCTATAAAACCCTATAAAAACCCTATAAAACCCAACAAAACCCTACAAACCCTATAAAACCCTATAAAACCCTATAAACCCTGTAAACCCTGTAAACTGCACAAAACCCTAGTCTCTACTTCCTCAACTCCAAACCCTGCACGCTTAAACGCCTGATCCCGAAAGACCCTCAGCCCCAAGCCGTAACCTTTTTCTCAGGTGAGCTGCAAAGCGTATCCAAGAATGTTCAACAGCTGTATTCGCTGTTAAGCTCAGCACTTATCAGCATACTGTATTCGATACGTGAACGACTGCACGAAGAGCACTCGCGAGTCGTGCTGGTGTCTCTGTTGCCTCGGGACCGAGCACAAGACATAACGTCTGAGGTCCCAGTCATTCCTTGTCAAGTGCTGTGCGGCCAGGAAGGGCGCGACAAGCAGCAGGACCAAGCGGCCAAGGCACGCAGAGGGCCGCGATGGGGCCAGCTCGGCTAGATGTTGGGTTTCTCACCTTCCGGTAGCGGGTCTTCAGGGTTTGGGTTCAGCTTTGCTGGCTGGCAAACCTCGGTGGAAGCCACCAAGATTGTACAGTAGGGTTATCCGGCTGCCAGGCTTACTTGTGGACGCTGGAAACTTCGTTTTTTACGAGCATTTAGGCTTCTACCACGTGCAAAAAATTGGTACGTTTGGAGGCATGAGGGCCTGAAAGCACTGTAATTTACGATGTTTTCTACTTCTACGGACAAAAAGGCTTGGGAGTCCAAAATCTAGTATCAGCAAATGGCCACCAAAGCTTGTCCTGCAAGGCGAGGCCGAAAGCACCTCCTCGGGCCTTAAACTCAGCTCCTGCATTCCCTAGCCCTTCATGCATCTAGTTTAACCGCTGCACATGATGCGACGGCGTTGGATGCTCAGTCGTCGCGCTTGAAGCCTAGACGCTCTTTGCATGGCTGGACTTGCTGAGGGGCCCGTGCAGAAGAAGATATGGGAAGCACCTGGGAATGCTTCGGAGGTGAAGAAGACCCGTGCCACCCAACCCTAAACCCTAAACCCTAAACCCTAAACCCTAAACCCTAAACCCTAAACCCTAAACCCTAAACCCTTAACTCTAAACCCTAAACCCTTAACCCTAAACCCTAAACCCTAAACCCTAAATTCCCACCCAGGCCTGCTTAGGCCGTACCCACCCTTTTCTAGGGTGCCTGAACCCAGAACTACACCCGACAGCCAGTCACTCCATCGCTTGGACTTCCTATGCAAGCCTAAAGAGTTGTGTTGAGCGTGAGCTGCACCTCCAGTGCCGGTGCAGTACCCCGCCTGGGGTACCCCACCCCCCTTCTCCGATTCTCAAGTATTAGTAAGAAACCCTAAACCTGGCGACCTGGTCCCAAAATGCAGGTGGTCCGGAGCCCCCTGGCGGCGGGCTCCTGCTGGAGCGTGTTCAGGGATCAGTGGCCCCCTTGCCTTGGCCCTGGCCGCCCCCTGACCCCGTTTAACTTCCTTGGCCCCCCCATCCCCCCAACCCACCCCCAAGAAGGGGTCTCTGGGCCTCTCGCGCCCTTCTCCTGACCCCCCTTCTGGCCCGCCTCTGCCCCTAGCCCGAAACTGACCCCCTGTGTGGGCCCTGGCTCAAGCCGGAGCATCAACTCTATGCCCTCCACAAGAACGGAGTGAGACCCAGCCGTTCAAAAGACGGGGGTGGGAAGTGGGAATTTAGGGCGTCAGCCCGAAACCCTAAAAGGAGAAAAGTTGGGTGGATGCCTGCGTAAGCAGGGGGTGGGAAAAATAAAACAACCCAACCTTTCTGGTTGTGGTGGCTCCAACTTCAATATACGCCGCCGCGACATATGCCGCCCCCTCACACCCCCTGGATGTGTTGGGGCGCCATCTCCGCATGACATCTACTGCCGCGGCGCGGCGAGACGCCCTAAACCCTAAACCCTAACCCCTAACCCTAAACCCTAAACCCTAAAACCCCCTAAACCCGAAACCCTAAACCCTAAAACCCCCTAAACCGTAAGCCCTAAACCCTAAACCCTAAACCCTAAAACCCCCTAAACCCTAAACCCTAAAACCCCCTAAGCCCTAAACCCTAAACCCTAAACCCTAAACCCTAAAACCCCTAAACCCTAAACCCTAAAGCCGCCTAAACCCTAAACCCCTAAACCCGAAACCCTAAACCCTAAAACCCCCTAAACCCCTTAAACCCTGAACCGTAAACCCTAAGCCCTAAACCCTAAACCCTACACCCTAACCGTAAGCCCTAAACCCTAAACCCTAAAACCCCCCAAACCCTAAACCCTAAACCCCTAAACCCTAAACCCCAAACCCTAAAACCCCCTTAGACCCTAAACCCTAAAGCCTAACCCTAAACCCTAAAACCCCCTAAACCCTAAACCCTAAACCCCCTCAACCCCCTCAACCCCCTAAACCCCTAAACCCTAAAGCCTAAACCCTAAACCCTAAGCCCTAAGCCCTAAGCCCTAAACCCGACTCGTGGCACCCAAACGAGCGTGGGGCTCGTTTGGGTGCCAAGATCCTTGAAATTAACCCTAAACCCAATCCACTTCCAAGCTGCGCGCGGCACTTCCCGGCACTTCCAAGCTGCACGCGGCACTTCCAGGCTGCACGCGCTCTGAAAGCCCTGGGCAGCCACCCATTTGGAAGTCTCCGGAATCCGAAAGCTTCGAAATACGTGGTAAAAACCAATGAAAACAAGACGCGCGTGCGGCCTGGACGCGGGAAAGACCGTGATCTGCTGTGTGCGCCCTGGACGCGGAGATGCGTGCGCCTTGAACGGTCCGGCCGCGCTGACGGGATGCTTCAAGAGCCGAGGAGGAAGTTTGGAGGTTTTCGGAGTTTAGGGGCTTGTGCGGAGGGCCTCTGCGCTTAATTTGATGCAAAGCTTCCACCACGTGTTAAAGCCAAAAACACTGCCCAAAAAGCCTGAACAACAACCTTTGTACCTTTGCATATCATTTGGTGTGTGGCGCAGTTGGTTCCTATTCAAAACCTCAGCAAGCTTTACCAGGAAACCGCCTAGCAATCACCAAATTCGATATAGTGCTACTTCCTACACAAACATCCTCTGAACATCAAGAAGTAGAGTCCAGGTCTGCAATTGCCGCCTTTCTCTTTCCATTTCCTCCTGCTTCACTGCTTTTTTCTTTACCTCAGTGGCTCTGTTTACTACTTTTAAGGGCCTTATAAAATATTCTTTGTTTTCTTATCTTTTTTCTCTTCTTCATTCACCATTATTATTATTATTATCATTATTATTATTGTTATTATTATTAATATTATTATTATTATCACGTTTCGCTCACACATTGAATATTAAATCACGCATGCATTACATTTCTTTGCATTTAATATTAAATTGTATTGTTCACTCATGAAGAGATAATTCGTACGTTCGGTGCTGTTTGAACACGCCGGTTTCTCCGAAAGCAAGGTGCTGTTTGGACACGCTGGTTTCCCCAAAAGAAGGGTGCTACTTACTGCTGGATGAACACGCTAGTTTTCCCAAAGCAGGGTGCTATTTGAACATGTTGGTTTCCGCACAGGTAGGGTGCTATTTGAATGCGCTGCTTTCTTCAAAAGCAGGGTTCTATTTAAACAGACCGGTTTGATTACGGCTCTAGCCCTAAGGGATCATAACTCAAAGAAATTCCGACAATTTTCCGAAATTTCCATTTTTCTCGAAGCTCTCAACCCTCACCCCGAGACACTCTTAAACCACCTCAAAAGTCCTGAGTCCCCAAGCAACCAGGACCCTATAAGCCCTATATCTGAAAAAACCAACATCCCTCGAGCGATTCCGGGCTGTGGTGTGTTCTAGTCTCCGGCTTTCGGGATCCATGCGACAAAAGCTGCGTCAGGCCGATGACTTGGATGAGCCTGCGCCTACAAGACTCGGGTGCCGTCCATCGTGCCAAAAAATCAACCATGTCACCCGAAACCTGTAGCCCCATTCCCTGAGGTTGCAAGTGGCAAGCGTGAGATATGTTTTGCGGGCATTTGTACCATTCACGTAGACTTCTTGGCGTGCAAACACTAGGGGAAAGTGCCAGGTTAGAGAACAGCCCTAAGCTGCAAGCCGGCTTGGCGGTAGGGCTTGGGTGTTGCAAGGTTCAAGGGAGACCTCTTGTGGCATGCGCCAGTACAACGTCTACACGCTGCCTTTTGCGTTGGGCTTTGGGTGCAGGGCTGGTGGAGTCAAAAGGGTGGGACCTTGATCACTTGAGCAGCCACGCAACATTAAGTTAAATCCCAGAAACGCAGGACCTGCAAGGCCAGCTTTTCGGATCTCAGGTTGGTTTGGGTGTTGTTTACGTTGGCTAAGACCTCGATGGTTACTCGCTTTTTGGTAGTAAGTGTCATCGTGGATTGTCCCGGCTCTTGGCCATGTGGACCGTGCCCTGTATGTATCTTCAGTACCGATCTGCAAGGAAGCCCGCAACCAAGAAGGTAAAGGTTGCTGCACGAAGTGTAGTTGGTTTCCTGGCACAGAGCAGCAGCTTGTACGGGCAGAGAAGTCGAGAAATCAACCCCCACACCCTTCCTTCCCACCGCCTTCATCTGTGGGCTGCGAGCTTTGCAATGATTTGTTCCATTGGCATCGCTGCCGCCAAAATGCCGCACTCGAGTGCGTTCCATAGCAGGCGGCAGTTTGTGCAATTCAGTAGGTGTCGGTCTGTGGCAGAGGTTGGACGCCTGCAAGTTTTTTTGCGCAAGCTGTTTGTCGCAGCACATTGGCCTATGCGGTACATGCACAAGTCAACATCCCAGCATGGACCACCTGCATCACGATCGCCATCAAGAATCAATCATCGATGTAGTCAGTTGGTTTTTCGAGTTCCTGCAAACAAACCCTGAGCAATACAAGATTGCCAGAGGAACTGTCAGGCTAGGTGTTGACAATTTCGTGGTTTGATGGCGACGTGTGGCCAGGACTGTATCTCAATCTCATTGCTAGCTCGCTTGCGACTGCATTGCAACCATGATGATGCACAGGATTCTCGCTTGTTCACTGTGCAGCTCGATGTCGCTTGACTGCACATCTTGCGATGGCGAATGTGTTCTTAAGCGTGGTATTTCTTGATCGCACGAGCCCGATACTTGATGTGTGAGACTTGGAGGCATCCTCTGGGCATCCTGTGGGTTTGCAGTTGGGTGAGGACATCGTCAAAGAGCGTATCATGTGTTTGTCCTTCTTGGCAACGCAGCATTCTGTGTTTGTGGCAAAAGTTCACATGCATCACGCATGTGAATGCGTCCATAGCATTCCATCGCCGGACCCTCTTTTTGGCATTGTCTTTTGTTGTGTGTGTGTCTGTCTGTCAGGATGGTCATACAGTCACAGCAGCTCCGGCCTCAGTTTTCGTGTTCGTTTCCTGTGCAGCTTGCTTTCGTAGCAAGCATCTTGGTGGCGTGTACAAAGTGCTACCAACGAACTGTTCTGGCGAGGTGGACGATGGTTCTTTAGTGGCAACGTGGAATGCGTCGCAGTCCAACCAAGTCGTGCCGGGCAATCTGCTCCGTAGTGTGAATGGCCAGTCCGACCCGGATGGCATCTGTCAGGATGGCAATTGAAGCGACATGCTTTACTTGTGTTGCAGCAAAATCAGGCATGGGTGCTTTGTCTGAGCTTCAGTTGCAGGAGTTGATCCAACTGACGCCATTGACCTTGGAAGTGCAAACTTCGAAGGACTGTGTGAACCGTGTGAACCTTTGTAGGGGTTGTCAGCCGTTGCATTGCATGGAAGGACACTTCGAATGGTGACGTTGAGTCCATGAAGCTTGTACTTAAATGTGCATATGCAGAGTCTGAAGAATCGGGAGGTCAAGACTCGAAAGCCAACAGAAGCTTGAAATCGTATCGTGCTTGCCGAGGCTTCAAGATCGTATCGACCTGGAGCAGCAAAGTCGAGAAGCCTCCATCGAGCAACTGACGACTTTCATGCAGCAAGCCATCTTGACCGTCTCGAACCGCATGGAGGAGAGTGGCACCAACCTCAACATGTTTGAAACACATTTATGAAGCTTCTTTTTGAGTTGTGAGACAGCGCTGCCCCTAAGGTGAGAAAAGTGTTCCCTAGAGGTAGGCAATTTTCGAGGGGCTAGAACCTTTGGGTTGCACCGTAGCAAGCTGCTGTTTCCTTGCAGACGTTGAGACGAGAGGAGCTGGCACTGACTCATGCCGAAAGCCAGCGCCAGCAAAGCTCCAAGATGCGAGCCTTGAGCCAGCTGGTGGCAGATACACAGCAGGCGCAGCAAAAGCAGGTGATCCGATTGAGTCGATTGGAGGAGCTCCGAAAAGGCGATTTGCAGCGAATTGAGGACATGGAGTGCGACCAGAAGCGGCTGAGCCAAACTTTGCACCGACTCACCGAAGAGACGCAGCAACGAAGCCATCAGGTCAATGAAGCCCTCAGAGGAATTGCGCAGGATGTGACATCGCTGGAGCAGTACTGTAGGAATCGTCGACGACCTTCCAAGACGGATACTGTGAATGGCTCGGAGGGGGAAGCAACCTGCGTGCCCACAGTGCTTGCCTCGGAACAAGGGCCCTTTGCAAGTCAGTCTGGGGGCCAAGGCAACTGTGTCACAAAAGATCCGGTTGGTGGAGATACTGGAGGGCCAGCTGAGCAAATGACTCAGATTCCCCAAGCATCTTCGAGCATGGAGGCGGCATCAAGAGTCCGAACCACAGCCCCCTCAAGTGCAGCGAGCTCTCCGTACGTGACGGCCACACCTGCGGAGAGTGAGCCTGCTCCATTGAAGTTGGAGGCCGCGCCAGCCAGACTCTTCACACCTGAGTCTCATCGGGTCTCGGACAATGGGAAGCCAGCAGGCTGGAGAGCTGTGAGCGCGGGAGCTGCGGCGATGGATGCCAGGAGCCACATCAATCCAGCTGGCTGGCGTGGGCATGCGGTGCCTGGGGGGCATGCGCTGCCAGGAGAGGTGCAAAGGCCCCCGGCCCTCTGCTCACCCCGATGCCCTCTGTCGCCCAGAACAGCTGCTGCAGCGATGGTGGTCCCCTCCTTGCAGCCCCTGCTGTCACCAACATCATCGCATGCCCGCCTGCTCTCGCCGGTCCGATCGGCTGCGCCGTTTGGACCTCCGGCTCGGCCGTTGAGCCCAGGAGCATTCCATCTAGCGCAGAGGCCCGAGGCGGCTTCGATCCACAGAGTCCACAGCCCCCACAGCCCGCGCTTGACGAGGATGGTTCAGGCACCCTTCCCAGTGTTGGCCCCAAGCCCATACCCCGCCTACACCGGCAGTGGCTGCAATCCGGGTGTCTGGTCGCAGGTGTCTAAGGCACAAGCCCCAGTTCCACCGACGCCACAGGCGACTGAAGCTGTGGGCTCCGGCCTTCCTGCCACGGAACGGGCAAGACGTGTCACATCTCCATCGCGATCCCAAGGCTAAGATTGCTAATGGTATAAAGAGCTTGGCGACGGGCCACCGCATCTGACCCAAAGTGGTCACCTGACGATTGCCCATCGCCTGTGCTGTGCAACTGCAAGTGGCACAAAACATGCGCACCAGGCAGGCAGAATATCGTACTCGCACAGACTGGAAAGTTGTATTTGCCGACTCGCCTAGCTGCGACTCTTTCTCTTTCACTCTTTCGCCATGCTGATGAAGTGCGGCGTGCATCACTTCCGAAGTTTCAGGCACCAGTGGCATTGACATGATGTAATGTTCCTAGCCAGCATCTAAAAGACGACCATGTATCGGCCATCACTTGACCCAAGCTGAAGCTTAGCAACCGTCGAGGGAAAGCAGTGGCTCGGTTCTGGGCAGCGAAGCGAAGCCATTAACAGGAGGAGCACCACATCGCTACAGTGTGATGTCGGAATGGCAAAGTTGGACGAGGTGTTGGTTGCTAGCTGATTCTGCAGTGGTTCGCTGGCATGCAGCTAGGTCGTCGCTGACGAAGAGAAGAGGAGACAAGCTCGATGGAATCTCAAACGGGTCCCGTGCATAGTTGGTTCGGAAAGAAAGTGCGTTATAATGCTAATGCAATGCGTCTTGCGAGAGGCCATGCACGACAGAAGAATCGCAGACATCGAGCGGGCCCTTATTGCGGGCGAGGAGTCTTGAACAGAACCAGTCGTGAGATGCAATATGATGGTGCCTTCTCTGCGCGATTTGCCATGCGCAGGAATGTAGCTTGTATCCCATGGAGTTGGAACATGCGCGTCACACACTCTTCGAGGCCAAGAAGGCAGGATGAAAGACTCTCTCAACTGCAGCTTTTGTGCATGCGGGCACAGACGAGATCATGTGGTGCTGTGGGTTTTGTAGCAGGTTATCAATGTGTCCACTTGGAACCCCTCATACGGTGCAGGCAGATGCCGCACAGAAGTTGGATCGAGCCGTGCGAGGGTCTTAATTCGTTTGACAGATCTCACGCCACGTGCAGCAATCACTGGCCATGAGGTATGTCCGCGTCAGTTTGCACTTGTCACGTTTAAGTGTTGAAGCGAACTGCACATTGCCATTTCCGCTAGAACTTCGCTCGGGACTGGCCCTTCCCATGGGTGGCAAATGCGGGGCAATCACATTGCATGAAAATGTCGCGGAACATTCGAGAAGAGTTGGCCGAATGCTTGGCACTCTGGGAGGTGGGAGCTGTGGCAGGTTGATGTGTTTGATGCTCGCAAAATTTGCTGACATTCCACTGCCCGCTGCTCCAGCTACTGGCCCTCACAGGTCCCAGTACATTGTCAACACTGGCTGGTTCTTGGTAGGGAATGAGGGACTGAGGCTGTAAGGGATTTTAAAAGGGGCTGCGCCCAGGGGCGGGCAACGCCCCCAGGAGGACGGGAGTGTGAAACGAAGGCGCGACGCGCGCGAGCGCTGGCAAGGCCCTCCAAACGGCGCGCGCGGCGCGCCCGCCGGGAATGCCCACGATGGCGCCCGAGCAAGCTTCGCACGCGGTGTAGTTACAGGGCCTTGGAGGTCCTGCTGCCCTAAACCCTCCCCGCCCCCCTAGCACCAAGGACCTGCTGATGCTGCTGATGCTCGCCCCCCGGATCCCCAAGTAGAAGCGAAGCCTCGATGATGCGCACCCTGGCCCGCCACCCATGAGCATCAGCGGCTCCAGCCTCGAAGCATTGGTGGGTTGTGCGAAGAAATGGCGGCCTCCACGCCAAAAGTTGAAAAATAGGGTCGATGATGCTCTCCGAGGTCGTTTTTGGGACCCTCCGTGGGGGCGCCGAAAAACGCGTTCGGGGCCCCCATGTCCGGGGGGGATAGCGCGTTTTCGCCATAAAAATGCACCTCAAAAATCATGCCCTTCGAAAGCCGCGTTTGGGGGATGTTGCCGGCCGGCCGGGTCGGCGGCCCTGCATGCCCATCCATTGCTAAAGCAAGGGCTTCCGCCCTGGCGAGCTCACAGAGGGGTGTTGCCCGATTTAATGGCTACCGCCTGCTGCGGACCCCCAACACAAGACTTTGAGACGGCGCGGTGGAGCGGCGAGGGCGGGTCAGGCACAGGATGGGGTGGGAGGGTGGGCGGCGCAACCACGCGGGCTGGGGTGGGGGGTGGGGGGGAAAACACCTCATTTCAAGGTGGGGCCCTCAAAAAACTGGCGCCCTGCTTTATGCATGAGAGGGGGTGCAGATGAGGCGGCGTCGGCGGTGGTGACGCTGCCATAAAAGGTGGGATTAGGGCGATGACCGGATGACCGAGAATGGGTCTTCACTAACACCTCCCAGCAAGGGTCGGCGGCCCAGCAAGGGTCGGCGGATATAGGGTGCCTCATTCCCCAATTCCCTACTAAGAACCAGGGGAGAGAATGTTTTCTTTTTGGCCTCCATGGATAAAGGTCTTTACCACTGGCCTGCCCGAAGCTGAACTGATGGAGACCTTTTGAAATTTTGCAGGCCTTTTGTATCGTTTAAGTTGCGCGGGCTGGGCCACGACACCTCGGAACGATTTTGTAAATTGGGCAAGCACACACGTGGGGCAAACGGGCTCGCAAGTCGGGCAAGGAGGGAGGGATGGCGTTGTCCCGTGACTTGGTTTGTTTTGCATTTCAAGCTTGGCCTTGGTTGAATCGCAAGAGCGCATGGCAATCTTGAACACTGGAAATGCTCCAGGACAAGCGCTGATGTGGACGCCATCTGTGATGCTATCAACCAAGCTGCTTCTGCGGGTGTCAGCCCGGCACCTACCGTTTTGACCGGCAGCGTTCGTCTCATTCGCCGTGGATGCTTTCTGCAGATCAAGCCAAATTGCAAGCAGCCGCGCCGGCCTTAAGTTTCATTCTTGTCTAGTTGTTGCGGCAGGCCTGAACCCTAAACCATCAAGTACAAGTATGCTCTGAGGAAGCATCTATGGAGCTTTTGAAGCGGCAGCAGGATGCTCGATTGCTTGTGTCCCAGGCCAGGTGTGCATGGGCATAGTGCAGATTCATGTAGACCGTGGCAGCTGAGCGCAAAGCGTGGTTTTTTCTAACAGAGAGTAGAAACCTCTGTTCCCAGCCAGGTACAGAGGTCCAGTGATATCCGATTGCTGCAGCAGGCACTGTGTCAATCTTTACCCAGACACTGCGGTGCTTCCAAGCTGCTGCACAGCCGGCAGGCAATAGACGATGCCACGTCCATGGGCCTCATGGAGTCAGAGTCTGCATCCGAGTTCTCCCCCGGACTTTGGGAAGGGAAGCAGCTTACACGTTTAGCAACTATAGATGGCATGTGTTAAGGCTGGTAGTGATCAAGCAGCGCTGGCCAGATTCTATGGATGTCTCTGGCAAGTTCTGTGAAGGCCGGTGCATGTCTCACATGTCGTCCTTGCCAGGCGAAAGGTGCAAAAGCTGGCCGTCCAGGCTGGTCTTCTCGTGCAGCTCAGCCCGCTGAATTCTTCGAAGCAGATTGATTCAGGCTGATGAGCTGAGAAAGCTGGAGCTTGCGATTGAAGGCTCGAATCGCGCATGCTTCCTGTGCATCGTTCATTTTCATGGCTCTCACCTCGTACCTTGCGTTGTTCCGAGGCAAATCAATCAAAGGGCTTCGCGAATGTCTCGCCTCGGCAGCTGCAGCAGGCCTGTGACGCATCAAGATTCACATGTGGTCTGCCCAAGGAGGTCTGACAAAAAAAGAGACAAAACGAGGATAGGTCTTGCAGACATTTGCAGACAAGCCGACTAGAGTTCCTGCACTGTGATTTGCGGCTGAATGCAGCATGAAATGGGGGTTTACGATATTGGGGGTTACCAAGCGGGTCCGACTATTCAGGGGTCTATATTGGGGGTCCCCTATTTTCCCATACCCCAAATCTCAATGTCGTGGAGGCCTTCCAGCAGTGGACCTGAACAGAGGGCGAACAGTTCTTGAGCTGGAAGAGAAGAAGGACGGCGTTCTACACTGTTCCACGGATCATGTCTTTTAGGCCTTTGGGCCATGGCTCATCGCAATGCGACTGCCAGGCTGCTGCCCGAATTGTACTCAAAGACGCACGTCTGGGCAAGAAGGTGGATCTGCACTTGAATCTATCAAGATGTTGCCGGCTAAAAATGTTGCTTAGACTGCCTGTTACCGAATGCTAGGCCTCTGCCAGGAACTGAGAATTGTCAGGGACTGCCCGTTTCTGTGCTCCGTCATGTCGTGCTTCTTCTCGTGTTGCAGCATGTTGCGTTTCATCAGCGGCCCAGGCCGAAGGCCGGGTACAAGATCTACGAGAAGCCATCGCCGCGGGCAAAACCGCAGGTGCTTCACCCGCTTTTGACAGGTCACGACGTCTCAGCTCTTCGTATTTCAAGCACATGTCAAGCACTTCGCTGGCAAGCTGAAGGACTTACAGACGAGGATCTCCAGCCCTTTGATGCAAAACTGGCTGAGCTGCGACGGGAGGCAATTCTTGCTTCTGCTGCCGCCGATGCTGCACTGCTCTGCGCGGACTTTTCCAAGTGCCAGGTGGCTGCTCGGCAAGCGTTGGAAGAAGCGGTGGAGATTGCCACAATGGAGGTCTTGATGCTCGAAGCTCAGCCGGCGGAAGGGTGGAAGGCATGTCTTGTTGCGTTTTTCTCTTTTGCAGACTCTTTGGGTCGCAAGGCCGGCTCTGGAGGAAGCAAGGGCAGCTGGAGCCTCCTCTCAGTCTTATGATTTTTTGTTATTTTTGTTACTTTAATAACGATTATTTCGATTATTACTTATTTTCTTTTGGGGGGGACAGGGCCGCGTTGTTTGTTCCAGCCTTTGCTCACATCAGCTTTCTCTCACATGGCCATGCTGTTTTCCAAGAGCTCGGACAGAGACGGTTGCTTTTCTAGGGTCTTCTTGGCAAAAGCTTGAGTTTGTTGGCTGAAATACAGTGGGGGTAGTTGATAAATTTATGGGCCAAAGCAGACGTGAGAAGACTTCGCCCAACGAATGCGTGCGTGCAGGGTGTCGAAGGTTTTGCGTATCTTGCTTGGCAACTTTTCAGTAGGCAAGTCAGTTCCAAGACCCCAAGTTGTCCATACCTGAGGAATTGATGAAGAGGAGCCTGCTGCCGAGCTTGGAATGCGACTTACATCACTTACCCCCAATTCTCCCTAAGGCTCCCCAAGCTTCCCTAAAGTTCCCTAAACCCTAATCCCTAATCCCTAAACCCTAAACCCGAAACCCTAAACCCCCCCTTGTACTTCGAATGCCCCCCGCCCAAGTTTGTCGGTGGCGAAGCTCCTTGTCGCAGATGCCTACAAGCCCGCAGCCGCGGCCTTTGACACGGTCTCTGAGTTGTTACGACTATGCCTTGATTGCCCTTGAAAGGAAGAATATTTTATGTGGGGTTCTTAAGCAAATAGTAGGTTAGTGGTTGTGGTAGGGGGCATACCATTCTTTCCTGGCAGCTCAGTCATAGGCCCGCGCCAAGCTGAAAGAGGCTGCTGGATCCTTGTTGCATCGTGGCGCTGTCGTGGTGTTGCGTTGCTATTTCCGAGTCTGCAGGTCGTCGAGGTATGTCGCAGATCTCTTGAGAACTCAGGTTCAGAAGCGCGAAATAGAACCTCTTCTAGCGGCCATTGAACACGCCAAGGCCTGGTGAAGTCATCTTGATAGTTGGCTGACTCTCAGAGCTGGAGGTCGTCGGGCTGTCTGTGATGGCTATTGCGGAGGCATCCGGGTTCACGCAGTTTCTCAATTTTTCGTGTTTTGATGCTTCTTGCAGAGATTTGCTGAGGCATCCGAGGTCTTGAAGGAGGAGGAGCTCAAAGTGCAGCTTCGCAAGCGGGGTGCCCAAGTCCCCTGGGTGCGAAGGATGCGCCAACTTTGCAGCTTTTGCCACAAGGATTTTGTAGGAAAGGATTAAACCCTAAACCCTAAACCCTAAACCCTAAACCCTAAAAACCCTAAACCCTAAACCCTGAACCCTAAACCCTAAACCCTAATTGCACGTGGCATTGGGCACAGAGGCGGCTCCTCCGACTGGAAGGGAGCCTGAGCCAACCGGAGCTTCGAGCAGCGATCAACCTCGGAGCCGTCAATGGCCCGATCCTCTGGGGCGCAGTGTCATATGGGGCTTTGAAGAGGGTTTAGGGTTTAGGGTTTCGGGTTTAGGGTTTAGGGCTTTGAAGCGTCAAGATCCCACGCTGTCTCTGCGGGAACTCGTCCTGCGCCTTCTTCCATATGGGGGTCTACGAAAATCGGCCCCCCAAAAAGTAGCGCAACCCCCAAATTGTTCCTTGCTTGTGGCGATGGCGCATGCCACTGGGCCGCCACTGACACAGGTCTCACACAAGCTGAGCTGGCTCCTGCGCGCTGGCTCCTCAGAGTGACAGAGGCATGCAGTGAGTCCATAGCAACATTTCTTCGAGTGTTTGTGTGAGAAGGGTGCTTGCCTGATATTTTGGAAGTACAAGGGCTCAGCTGGTTTCAAGAATGCGGAGGAGATTGTTTAGAGTGTAACTTTGTTTTTTTCCTCGGCAGGTGTTCTTTTTCGGGTGATTTCCTGTTTTCCATAAACGAGGGTCAACGATAGTCGTAACATGAGGGACTCTTAGTGTAGAACAGCCCACGTAAGGCTTTCTCCCTCACTCGCAGAATCTCGCAGACCGCCTGCGATGGAAGGCAAGCAGCTGGCTGAGCTCGAGGAACAAGCGGCAGCATCTGTACGCCGTTGCCTCTGGGGGGGGGGGGGGGGGCATCTCGCATCCCAGGATGGGCTACTAGGCCCATATGATCCCCAGAATCAACCCTATGAAGGGCCGTTTTAAGGGGTTATGGGGTAGAATAGCCCGTCCTGGTTTGCCCTGGCATGTCATCCTAAGCCTTCCTGAGCCTCTTCACTTCTGCAAGGACTATCTGAAGCCATCGAGGTCGGAGAGATCATCGAGTTGCAGGTAGGGCCACTTCTGGTCACTGAGGTTTCAATTGGAGGTTTGTTCCTGACAAGATTTGCACCTTGAGGCTGCCATCAGGCATGCGCGGGCTCTAGTTGAGAAAGTTCTCACGCCATGTCCACGGCCCAGCTTCCCAAAGACAAAGGGTGCCACATGACGCATCGTGGTCGCCCCAGGCGTGTCTGAGCAGCTGATCCAAGATGCCGAGAAGGTAGCTGTGTGCATCCTGCTTACATACACAAGCGGCCCAGCAAACCGACCCGAGGCACTGAGGCAAGAGATTGAGCAGTCCGCGCGGGACATGCTCTACGATTCAGTCAGGGCCCCAATTTTCGTGCAAGATCAAGCTTAGGGGGAGTCTCCCTCAGATCCCTAAACCATCCTGAATCATCCTCAACCATCCTAAACTATCCTAAACCATTCTAAACCATTCTAAACCACCTTAAACTATCAACTATCCTAAACCGTCCTAAGCCCTGAACGCTGAAATGCTCTGACAAAACCGAGATCAAGCGCTGCAGTGGAGCTGCCGCAGTTTCCCGAAGCAAAGATGCGCCAGAAGAGAACGAGCCACTCAATGCGAAGTCAGCCTTGCAACAGCGACGCAGGCTCTCTCTTGAAGCTCATGCAAATAGGCAGTGTATCTGATTGCAGATTTGGATGTGTACTTGTATCAGAGTGCTGAGAGGAGCCAGGCTAACTTCGAAGCTGCTTTGCAGGCACGCTGGCTTGTGCACCCTAATGCGCGCGTGCAAGAGCCGGATGCCGGAGGCCATCGGCGTGGACGTTGGCTCCAGACCTGGGTCCCGAGATCAGCCGGCCATGCCTGGGCGTCGCGCGTCAGGCCAGGGTTCGCTGGCATTTCAGACCGTCAAGCCGGGGTTCTTTGAGTCTGCAGAATCTCTAGAACAGCAGAACCCGCTCATGTGCACATCCTCGCAAGACATGCTTGGTTCAGTCCCGACGTGCCATCTCACGGTTTGACATGCCGTCTGTAAATTTCTGATGGAAGGGGCAATATGGGCAGAGTTGAAGTACTTCTCAGATCAGAATGGAACCCGCGCAGCGAAGCAATCCAAAAAAACATCTGGTGAGTCGAGTTTCTTCGGCGGCAGCCGTAGTATATGCACAAACGGTGGGAAGCCGGGGCTGTCAAGGCAAGAAATGCAGCGCCTCTGCACGCGGTCACTGCTATTTCGTTGACAAATCAGCAGAACGCAGATTTGCGAGGGTTAGTCAAAAGCACACTCCCCGAACAAGGGCTTTCGGTCGGTGATTCGGAGAGAGACAACGAACTGCATCGGGCTTGTGGTGCGATCTCCAAGGCGTCAGGTGGGGGTTCGAGGGCTCGGCATGCCTTGCCCACACTGCCTACAAACTGGAGAATTGACATCATGTCAATTGCATAAAGGTGTGCCTAGAACCCTTTTGGAGGTCCTCTGGCAGTCCAACGCATGTTGCATCGACATTTTGCCGGACAGAAAGCAGAGAACCTTGAACAACCAACAAGAAGCAGAGAAGGAGAGAGCAAGGAGACCCAAGATCACGGCCCATTCGCATGCTTACAGTGGCGAACGTAGCGACTTAGCGATCTTGAGCTGGAAAGCTCAGGATCCCAATTGCCCATCTCGACCCTTCAGCAGTGCAGTTGCCGTGCCTGGGAAGGTCTTGGCAAGAGGCGGATGTCTGCCATGTATGGCGGCGGACCGATGGGTTCCTTGGCTGAGATATTCAGGGTTTTTGACAGACAGCTTAGGAAGAGTGTGAGGGGCGGTCTTCCGTGCAAGAATCGTGATTTTTGCGAGGTGGAGCAACGGGAGTTGGAGAAGAATACTACCAGAGGCTTTCCCTTCAGGGGGATGAAGGCTTGGAGCACAGTCGATCTTGATTCAAAATTGGCAGGATGGAGACAATCAAGACTGCCATTAGAGGTGCAGAGGCATGACCGTGATCGGACGGAGTTTGCTGCCATGCGGTTGTGAGCAACAACTGCGCTCAGTACATCCTCCACCTTCCTGATTGTTAATCAGTTCTGGGTTCGTAGGCATTGAAAATTGATGAGAGCGACATCCGTCCGGCTCGCGAAGCGCGGCGCTCAGCATCTCCAGCGTTTTGGGGGTAGCTTCGCCTTGCTCGGCCTTGCTGATTGTGGTGTTTCCACGCCGATGTCCTCGTGTACCCGGCTCGCATCTTCAGAGCTAGTCAGGAGCCAGTCAAGGATGCAGAAAATAGAAGAGCGTGGTCCAGTCGAGGGTAAGATCCCAGCTCAATGTTTGCAACAGCACACTTGCGAGTGAAGTGTAGGTGATCTCAGCTCAAACGGCTATCAGCCTAGCAGACAACAGGACTGCATGCAGCGTTTCAGTAAGAGTGCTTTGGCACACATCCGTGTCGCGAGCTCAGTGCGCAACCGCTCGTTCCAACTGCAGATCAGCCGACAGTCTGGGCTTGACGTCTTTCAGGCTGTGCAAAGTGTCGAGTCAAGCAATTGCCCATGTTAGTTGTAACTCAGGCATGGAGATGCTTTTGCAGCGGCACGCCAGCGGTTGCCAGGAGGGCAAATGTGTTACGTGGCGAAGGCACAATTACGCGCCTCGGTAACATTGAATTTCTAAAGCTGAAGCCTTGTGAGCTTCGCGTCTCAACACAACAACTCGTAGTTGAAACGTTAACGCCTAAGGATGGTTGAGAAAGCGCTCGCACTGCTGAAAGAGGGGAAGGACATCATTCGCATGGAGGCGCATGCACATCATGCGTATCGGTTCTTCTACCTCACTCGTGTGTTGTCAGGTAGGTGATCCGGACTTCAGCACACCAGACCATATAGTTGCGCGGAGCCCAAGTGGTGGCAGCAAAAAGAGCGCCCTGCCCCAAAAAAACTTCGGCATGATCTGCTCCGCTGCAAGCGATCTCAACAGCATTCAAAGAATCGCGAACAGGGCTGGAGGGTGCCTCGTTGACACATCACCACTTCTTGAGGTGTGCCAGCTTACAGAGACGGACGGGTAATGAACAGGTCCAACAGAGTGTTTGGAAGCCATGCCGCGTGGTTCTGCCGCTGCCCTGCTCTGGGACCATCCCAATGACGCGGCGTTTTTCTGGCGACCGGCTAAGACACCTTTGCATTATTCAGCTTTTCTTGGGAGAACTAAGTCAGACGGTCTTCAGATTGGTGTTTGCGACGGGGTCCTTGGAGACAAGAGTATACATGTCACCATCACGCCAGACAACAAGCGTGCCTTAATTCTGGATGGAAAGAATACGGACGGATTTGTGCAATCTGAAGTCCGATGCAAAGGCAAGGTGCCAATGTTGGTTGGCAGCTGTGATGAATCTACCATTCGGCAAAAGTGGCGGTGTGATGAGCTCGATCTTCACAAGACGTTGCATGGTGAGGCATTTCCATACGTTGCTGCCATGATCCGCAAAATCACTCCGCGTTGTCATTCCAAGCCCCTTGAGCTTCTGATGCTTGGCCTGGGAGGGGGCACGATGCAAAGCTACATCGCGCACGAATGCTCCGATGCCAAGCTCACCACAATCGAGGCTTCCTCCGGAGTCGTGGAGGCTGCTCGTCGATTCTTCGGCTTCACTGGCAAAGCAAAGGTTGCAAATGCCCGGGACGCGCTGCATGATTTGGTGCAGCAGCAGAGGCACTTCGACGTGATTGTGGTTGATATCACAGACACGGTGCTAAGCAAGCAAGACGTGGACAACTTACACCTGCTATTGAATAAGGACGGGATAGTATTGCAAAACCATACGAACTATCTGAAGATGTCTGAGCAGCTGGAGTCCTTTCGCAAGGTGTTTGCCACTGTTACAGAGGAGAACTTCATGGGGGGCAACGTCGTGGTGACTAGCACCAACGCTGGCGCCCCCGAGGCCGAGCAGGCTTTGAGACAGTAGCATCTTCAGAGTTGACCTTGCCGGCGCGGCCGGCTCCTCTCGAGAAAAAAAAAAAGACGCGCGCTTGTCGCCGGGCTGCCGATGCCATCGACATCTACTGCAGTGGCGGGTTTTTGATGGTTGTGCGGTGTTCAAGGGGTGTTACTCGGAATGTACGAGTTCCTGCGATTCAGGAAGCCAGGATTCAGGAAGCTGTGGTTCATGAAGCTGGGTGCTTCAGGAACTACACGATTCAGGCAACTGGCTTTGTGCAATTCAACAGCCGCGACTCAGGAAACCTACTTCACGCGATTCAGAAAACGTGATTCAGGAAACCAAGCAATTCTGAGAACCACGAGATTCGGGAAGCTCGGTTCAGGGGTTGCGAAGGTGGGGGTGGGGGGGTGGGGTGGGGGTGATAACGTTCACGTCACGGGTGCTTTCAGAACAGTCTGCGCTCCCTATATAACAGCGTCCGTGGTTTCCACTTTGTCGATTCCGCGGTTTCCGAATCTGCGTTTTCCAGCTTCCGAATCCGAGTTTGTTAGTTTTTGGAATCCGCGTGTTTTCATTTTCCGATCCTCTGCTGACCAGAAAACATTGTGTGGCCAAGGCAAGCGCGGTGAATGCTTTAAATGCCGGCCAGACGCACTACGAGGCCATCTTGGAAGTATGAGTACGAGCCATGAAGAGAGCCAGAACAAACCCTAAACCCTAAACCCTAAACCCTAGTGGCACTTCGAGGCAGCTGGAGGATCCCCATCTCTTCGACGAGCAGTGGCCGCATATCTCGAGCGCACAAGGTGCACGATGGTGCACGGCCTCTGGTCAATTCCTTGTTGGGATGGATACATCGGCTACATAGGATCTTCTTGTTTGGCATGGGTTTTTCGAGGTCAGTGGCTGCTCTCAGGCCCATGCATGCATCGGAGTTCAATCCTGTGGAGGCCTGGCTTGCAGGCAGATCCTGACAAGGCCCTTGCGATTTTTGCAGACCTTCGCTGCATAGCACTTCGTAGCAAGATGTGTGAGCACTTGAGCTGAAGATTGTAGGTGCTTTGCATGCCCGGTGGAAAGCCGGTGATCTTCCATACTATCGCCGCTACATGCGAGGAGGGAGTGAACGTTTGTTTTGATGCTGCCGGGTCACTCTGCTTGTGACCAGGAGGGTGACGAGGCACAATGTGTCGAAGAGCTCGCCGTTCTACATTCATAGGAATCGGCTTCTCACTACTAGTGAACTAGTGATGCTGCTTTGAAGGTGATCTACCCAGACCCTGGGTTTCCGGCGTATGAAACCACGATTCAATGGAGTGGAGCAACACCTGTGCCCCTGCGACTGGATGAAGCCACAGGGTTTCGATTCCGACATGCAGGGAGCCTATGAGACCCCTTCGCAGTTGGGGTCTGTGCAGCAGCTAGACTAGAGGATGTGAGCTGGGACATAAGGAGGAGCTTCGCAGGCTAGCATCTCCACGTCGGGCACCAAGTCTCCTGAAACCTTCTTGGGCCGTAGAGGCCGATATGGTGCCAGCAGTACCAGGTACGAAGCTCATCATCCTTTGCTCACCTGGTAATCCGACGGGTGGGGTGCTGGGCTTTGTGGGCTTGTGTCTTTCTATGCTCGGGCAACACCCCGACATATCCCGACTCAGTGAACCTTTGAACGAAGGTGCTCACCCGAGAAGACCTCGACTGTGCAGCTGAGATCGCAAAGGCTTGCAACAGCTGGGTCTTGAGTGACGAGATCTACTCAAGGCCAGCTCGTCGCGACTCCATGGCAGCTCTGTCGCGTCAACTCTCTGGCTATGCAGCAGGCTGGTATTCGACGGCAATCCGGACAGCATCGCCTTGCGCGAGGTGCCATGTTCTCGGCTGCCCTTGCTATGTCAGCTGCTACGCTTCATGCAGCGTTTCTGTGTCAGATGTCATTGGCCTTTGGGCAGAGGACATGCTGAAGCGCACCGTGATCCTAGACGGTTGCAGCAAAGCCTTCGCCGCGGCGTCAGAAACTCATACGACAGTGCGACAATGCTGAGGGCATGCACCAGAGGCCATGACTGGCTGGCGCCTGGGCTTCGGCCTGTTTCCAGAAGAGCTTGTCGAGCCTGCCAAGAACCTGGCGATCAACAGCTGGACCTGCGCCGGCCTTGGGTTCGGCTAGGGCCCAAAGGGGCATGGGCGAATCGGAGCATGCCTTGGCAAGCAGCATAATAAGTTTTGAGTTTAGGCAGCCTCTACATGCCTTAGAGATTGAAACAGCAAACAGTGAACATCTTCAGGCTTGCCGCCTTTTGTGGCTGCCGGTGCAGAGACTGCCCTGGCCACCCCAGAGGCAGTGGTCCTGTACCGCACGATGCGAGGGAACTGCAAGAAGCAGCTGGTTCTGTTGATTTCAATGTCTAGTCGAAGTCGCAGTCGCAGCCATAGTAGTACTGGTCGTCTCAGTTGTGCTCGTAGTAAGAGAAGTGCGAGTAGTACTACCGAGACTAGTACGAGTATAGTACTAGCAGTAGTTATAGTAGCAGCAGAAGGGGGGATTCGTAGCCGAGAGGGAGGGAGAAAGGAGAGTAAGGGCGGGAGTGCTGCAGCTTGTTTTGCAGGAGGTGATGGCTCCCATGCGCTCGGAGTACAAAGCCAGGCGTGTGCTGTTGGTGAAAGGGTTCAGCTTCTTACTTGAGAACCCCAACGTTGAAGCCAAGATTCCGCTCTCGGGACGAAACTCATTCACTTGGGCCCAACTTGAAGCCAAGATTTCCTCAGAGATGCCTTCTTGGGCCCAACTTGAAACCAAGATTTCGCCGAGGGGCCTTCTCGGGCCCAACTTGAAGCCAAGATTTCGCCGGAGACGTCTTCTTGGGCCCATATTGAAGCCAAGATTTCGCCGCAGGCCTTCTCGGGCCCAACTTGAAGCCAAGATTTCGCCGGAGGGGCCTTCTTGGGCCCAACTTGGAAACCCACATTCGGGCCAAGTGTGCTAAACTTGAAACCCAGATTCGGGCCAGGGTTGAAAGCGTGTTGAACTTGAAACTCAGCTTCGGGCCAAACTAGAACTTAAACCGTAGGGTTAAGGTTGAAAGCGTCTTACACTTGAAACCCAGATTCGGGTCAGGGTTGAAAGCGTGTGGAACTTGAAACCCAGATTCGGGCCAAGTGTGTTAAACTTGAAACTCACATTCGGGCCAGGGTTGAAACCGTGTTACATGGAAACCCAGGTTGGGGTCAGGGTTGAAAGCCTGTTAAACTTGAAACCCAGATTCGGGCCAGGGTTGACAGCGTGTTAAACTTGAAGCCCAGATTCGGGCCAGGGTTGAAAGCGCATTGAACTTGAAGCCCAGATCCGGGCCAGAGTTGAAAAGCGTTTCGAAACCCATCTTCGAGCCAAACTAGAACTTAGACTGTAGGTTTAAGGTTGAAAGCGTGTTAAACTTGCAACCCAGATTCGGGCCAGGGTTGAAGCGTGTTGAACTTGAATCTCAGTTTCGGGGCAAGTGTGTTAAACTTGAAACCCAGATTCGGGCCAGGGTGAAGCCGTGTTAAATTGGAAGCCCGGATTCGGGCCAAGGTTGAAAGCGTGTTAAACTTGAAACCCAGATTCGGGCCAAGTGCCTTAAACTTGAAGCAGAATCGGGCCAGGGTTGAAGCCGTGTTACACTTGCAACCCAGATTCGGGCCAGGGTTGAAAGCGTGTTGAAGTTGAAACCCAGATTCGGGCCAGGGCCAGGATTGAAAGCGTGCTCAGATTCGGGCCAGGGTTGGAATCGTGTTAAACTTGAAACCCAGATTCGGGCCAAGGATGTTAAACTTGAAACCCAGATCCGGGCCAGGGTTGAAAGCGTGTTGAACTTGAAACTCAGCTTCCTGCCAAACCAGAACTTGAACTGTAGGGTTAAGGTTGAAAGTTGAAAGCGTGTTAAACTTGAAACCCAGATTCGGGCCAGGGTTGAAACCGTGCCAAACTTGAAGCCCAAATTCAGGCCAGGGTTGAAAGCGTGTGGAACTTGACACCCAGATTCGGGCCAAGTGTGTTAAGTTTGAAACCCAGATTCGGGCCAGGGTTGAAACCGTGTTAAACTTGAACCGCAGATTCGGGCCAGGGTTGAAACCGTGTTAAACTTGAAACCCAGATTCGGGCCAGGGCCAGGGTTGAAACCGTGTTGAACTTGAAGCCCAGATTCGGGCCAGGGTTGAAAGCGTGTTAAACTTGAAACCCAGATTTGGGCCAAGTGTCTTAAACTTGAAACCCAGATTCGGGCCAAGTGTGTTAAACTTGAAACCCAGATTCGGGCCAGGGTTGAAAGCGTGTTAAACTTGAAACTCAGCTTCGGGCCAAACTAGAACTTAAACTCTAGGGTTAAGGTTGAAAGCGTGTTAAACTTGAAACCCAGATTCGGGTCAGGGTTGAAAGCGTGTGGAACTTGAAACCCAGATTCGGGCCAAGTGTGTTAAACTTGGAAACCCAGATTCGGGCCAGGGTTGAAAGCGTGTTAAACTTGAAACTCAGCTTCGGGCCAAACTAGAACTTAAACTCTAGGGTTAAGGTTGAAAGCGTGTTAAACTTGAAACCCAGATTCGGGTCAGGGTTGAAAGCGTGTGGAACTTGAAACCCAGATTCGGGCCAAGTGTGTTAAACTTGGAAACCCAGATTCGGGCCAGGGTTGAAAGCGTGTTAGACTTGAAACTCAGCTTCGGGCCAAACTAGAACTTAAACTCTAGGGTTAAGGTTGAAAGCCTGTTATCTAAACTTGAAACCCAGATTCGGGTCAGGGTTGAAAGCGTGTGGAACTTGAAACCCAGATTCGGGCCAAGTGTGTTAAACTTGGAAACCCAGATTCGGGCCAGGGTTGCAAGCGTGCTAAACTTGAAACCCAGATTCGGGCCAGGGTTGAAAGCGTGTTACACTTGAAACTCAGCTTTCGGCCAAACTAGCACTTAAACTCTAGGGTTAAGGTTGAAAGCGTGTTATCTAAACTTGAAACCCGGATTCGGGTCAGGGTTGAAAGCGTGTGGAACTTGACACCCAGATCCGGGCCAAGTGTGTTAAGTTTGAAACCCAGATTCGGGCCAGGGTTGCAAGCGTGCTAAACTTGAAACCCAGATTCGGGCCAGGGTTGAAAGCGTGTTAAACTTGAAACTCACTTCGGGCCAAACTAGAACTTAAACTCTAGGGTTAAGGTTGAAAGCGTGTTATCTAAACTTGAAACCCAGATTCGGGTCAGGGTTGAAAGCGTGTGGAACTTGAAACCCAGAATCGGGCCAAGTGTGTTAAACTTGAAACCCAGATTCGGGCCAGGGTTGAAAGCGTGTTAAACTTGAAACTCAGCTTCGGGCCAAACTAGAACTGAAACTCTAGGGTTAAGGTTGAAAGCGTGTTATCTAAACTTGAAACCCAGATTCGGGTCAGGGTTGAAAGCGTGTGGAACTTGAAACCCAGATTCGGGCCAAGTGTGTTAAACTTGAAACCCAGATTCGGGCCAGGGTTGAAAGCGTGTTAAACTTGAAACTCAGCTTCGGGCCAAACTAGAACTCAAACTCTAGGGTTAAGGTTGAAAGCGTCTTAAACTTGAAACCCAGATTCGGGTCAGGGTTGAAAGCGTGTGGAACTTGAAACCCAGATTCGGGCCAAGTGTGTTAAACTTGGAAACCCAGATTCGGGCCAGGGTTGAAAGCGTGTTAAACTTGAAACTCAGCTTCGGGCCAAACTAGAACTTAAACTCTAGGGTTAAGGTTGAAAGCGTGTTATCTAAACTTGAAACCCAGATTCGGGTCAGGGTTGAAAGCGTGTGGAACTTGAAACCCAGATTCGGGCCAAGTGTGTTAAACTTGGAAACCCAGATTCGGGCCAGGGTTGCAAGCGTGCTAAACTTGAAACCCAGATTCGGGCCAGGGTTGAAAGCGTGTTACACTTGAAACTCAGCTTCGGGCCAAACTAGAACTTAACCTCTAGGGTTAAGGTTGAAAGCGTGTTATCTAAACTTGAAACCCGGATTCGGGTCAGGGTTGAAAGCGTGTGGAACTTGAAACCCAGATTCGGGCCAGGGTTGCAAGCGTGCTAAACTTGAAACCCAGATTCGGGCCAGGGTTGAAAGCGTGTTAAACTTGAAACTCACTTCGGGCCAAACTAGAACTTAAACTCTAGGGTTAAGGTTGAAAGCGTGTTATCTAAACTTGAAACCCAGATTCGGGTCAGGGTTGAAAGCGTGTGGAACTTGACACCCAGATTCGGGCCAAGTGTCTTAAACTTGAAACCCAGATTCGGGCCAGGGTTGCAAGCGTGCTAAACTTGAAACCCAGATTCGGGCCAGGGTTGAAAGCGTTTTAAACTTGAAACTCGCTTCGGGCCAAACTAGAACTTAAGCTCTAGGGTTAAGGTTGAAAGCGTGTTATCTAAACTTGAAACCCAGATTCGGGTCAGGGTTGAAAGCGTGTGGAACTTGAAACCCAGATTCGGGCCAAGTGTGTTAAACTTGAAACCCAGATTCGGGCCAGGGTTGCAAGCGTGCTAAACTTGAAACCCAGATTCGGGCCAGGGTTGAAAGCGTGTTTAACTTGAAACTCAGCTTCGGGCCAAACTAGGTTGAAAGCGTGTTATCTAAACTTGAAACCCAGATTCGGGTCAGGGTTGAAAGCGTGTGGAACTTGAAACCCAGATTCGGGCCAAGTGTGTTGAACTTGAAACCCAGATTCGGGCCAGGGTTGCAAGCGTGCTAAACTTGAAGCCCAGATTCGGGCCAGGGTTGAAAGCGTGTTAAACTTGAAACCCAGCTTCGGGCCAAACTAGAACTTAAACTCCTAGGGTTAAGGTTGAAAGCGTGTTATCTAAACTTGAAACCCAGATTCGGGTCAGGGTTGAAAGCGTGTGGAACTTGAAACCCAGATTCGGGCCAAGTGTGTTGAACTTGAAACCCAGATTCGGGCCAGGGTTGCAAACGTGCTAAACTTGAAACCCAGATTCGGGCCAGGGTTGAAAGCGTGTTAAACTTGAAACTCAGCTTCGGGCCAACGCCGAACCTTATTTGGATATCATTCGGGAAAAAGCCCCTCCGAACCTTATTTGCTTATCATTAGGGAAGAGAGCCCTCCGAACGTACCCGAAACCCTAAACCCTAAAATTCCTCTCTACGCCCTAAACCCTAAACCATTTTTCAGGCCACGAAAAGGTTAACAACTTTTATGGGGTATGTACCTAAACCCTAAACCCTGACCCTAAACCTTAAACCCTGGACCCCAAACCTTACCACAGGCACTTGTCCTGAACCTAAACCCTAAAATCCCTACCTTCTTGGGCCCAACTTGAAACCAAGATCCCGCCGGAGGGGCCTTCTTGGGCCCAACTTGAAACCAAGATTTTGCCGGAGAGGCTTTCAACTTGAAGCCAAGATTTCGCCGGAGGGGGCCTTCTCGGGCCCAACTTGAAGCCAAGATTTTTGCCGAGGGGGCTTTTGGGGCCCAACTTGAAGCCAAGATTTGGCCTGAGGGGGGTTTTTTTGGGCCCAACTTGATGCCAAGATTTCGCCCCGGGGGGCCTTCTCGGGCCCAACTTGAAACCAAGATTTCGCCGGAGGGGGGTTTCTCGGGCCCAACTTGAAGCCAAGATTTCGCCGAATATTTCGCCGGAGGGGCCTTCTTGGGCCCAACTTGAAGCCAGGATCTCTTGCGGGGGGTCTTCTTTGCAGACCGGGCGAGCGTGCAGGCGAGATCTGGTGTATGAGAAGCTGTCGGGCACACCTGGCATCTCTGTGGCTGTCTGTCCAGCGGGGGCCATGTGCACCTGCCTTGTTTCAGCCCAAAGCCCGAAACTGTTTGCGCAAGTTGTGCCACAGGAAGGGTGCCATTTGAAACATGCGCTCTGCCTCTTGCACTTCCGGTGCAATACATGATCCCACCAGATATAAGATGAGTATTCCTTGGAAGCTTCTTCGCGGTCTGTGCCAGGTACCTTCTAGCCAACGTGACTGGAACGGGATTGAGCTCCGGGGAGTTTGCAGACCGATTGCTGCAGGACCGTGGAAGAACGCAAACTCTTGGGTTTAGGGTTTAGGGTTTAGGGTTTCGGGTTCAGGGTTTAGGGTTTAGGGTTTTAGGGTTTTTAGGGTTTAGTGTTTAGTTGACACTCTTAGGCTCTATGAGCAAGATGATGCAGAGGAGCAAGGTGTGGCGGTGCTCGACGGCAATTTCTTTGGTGCTGGTGGCGATGGCCTGATCAGGCACTGAATCCATGGGATCAGCTGCCAATTCTTGCCTTTTTCCTGGCTTCTTGGAGGATCTCTTTTGCACAGTCTCGCGCGCGGCTTGCAGAGGGATGCGCTGTGATCTCAGGAATACCCAGGACATGTGTGGGGTCGGAAAGTTAAACTGCGTTGTTTGTCGAGCTTTTGTGATGAGGATCGCATCAAGCTGTTTGTGGCCAGCCTGAAAGTTTAGTGATCGAGCAATGACTCGGAGTAGCGAAGTTTCAGAGTGCCGACATGGCCCAACGCAGAACAAAGCTTTCTGTTTAGATTGTGACATGATTGCTGATCTGTGCAGGAAAGGACATGCGGAGTTTGTTCTAAATTCCGGCAGGGTTACCATGGGTTACCATCTGGAAGAGAGGCCCCTAAAGTCACCCCAACATAGAACAGGGCCCTTTAAGGGCCCCCATGTATCAATACTCCAAAACCCCTGCATCCTGTGAACCAAACATGCTGAGTCGGTACCCCTAGCTCATTGCGCCGCGGCCATACCATGCCCAGGCGCTTGCTGAGCAGGAGAAGAAGTTCCAGGCATGTGGAGTCCAAGTCTCAGCAGGAGCTTCCGACTTGCTACGACTCGCTGCCTTCCTTCGGCTGACATTCCAAAAAGTTTGTCAAAAGTTTGTCGCTCAGATAGGTCATATCTTCCTTTCAGGCCCGGAGCCTTGAGGACCAATAGGACCTCTTGAACTTCGAATGCTAATGCCCTTGAGCCCGAGCCCGAAGATGCCCCCAACACCAGCTCCTCCACACCCCGAAGTCTCACAGCTTTGATGCCTAGGGTTCAGGGCTTAGGGTTTAGGGTTTATGGCCGCTCCGCTCCTTTTTGCTTGACTGCACGTCTCATAGGCCAGAACTCAGCACCTAATGACGGCCAGTTTGCTCAGCGGAGCTCTGGCTTTCGATGCATGGATGCTCCTTCGCCAATCGTCTGTGGATGGCTTCGGAACGACCTACGTGTACACGATTCTGTCGTTCTCTTTCTGCAAGAGATCCTTGTAAGATGCATGGTTACCAAAGTAGCGGTTGGTATGCTGCCTCCCCAAAGCTCCACAAATTGAGCCTGATCCGAGGTTCTGCATCGTGTTGCCGAGATATCTCGAACGCCACCCCGCTGCGATGATGCAAGGTCCTTTACAAACATCTTATCAGAAAAACCAACGCATCCTCTTTGCTCTCAATGTGAAAAATTCTGAGGTGTTTGTGAGTTCAGCTGAGGCGCGGATGGTCGACTCTGGTAATCTACGTGCTGGATCCCAGGAGCTTTGCATGGCCGGAGGAGACGGAGAGGATGGGAGCCTTCCGAGCCCGCTTTCTCTGGGAGTCGCTGCTGGCCCTCAGGGCGGACTTGCAACGTTTGGGCTCCGACCTGGTGCTGCGCACAGGGAAGCCGGAGGAGGTGCTTCCGGACCTCCTTCCTCCAGGCTCAGCCTTGATCACGCAGGAGGAGGTCACTGCTGAAGAGAGAGCCGTGGATCAACGCCTGCGCTCTCGCCTCGAGACCGTAAAGGTAGATGTGGAGCACTGCTGGGGCTCGACACTCTTTCACATTGAAGACCTGCCCTTTGACCCTGCCAATCTCCCTGAGTCGTTTACGGTCTTCAAGAACACTCTGGCTCCGGAGTTGAAGTGTGCCTGTAATGCTATACCGCCCGAATACCTCGACCTGCCTAAGCCGAAGACGAGCCTATCGATTCGGCCGTGTATGCCGGAGCTCGAGCTCGGATCCCTGCCACTGTCAGCAGTGTTTTGCAAAGACGTCGGGCATCCGCCATCCTGGGCCGACATGCCGCTCCCTTCATCGCAGTCAGGCGACGACCTGCCAGCAGCGCCCTTGTTCAAGGGCGGTGAGCGTGCTGGCCTGCATCGGCTGGAGTATTACTTCTCCGGGCCCCTGGCCACCTACGCTGAAACGAAGAACAACATGCTGGATGCCGATGCTTCAAGCAAGCTGTCCCCATGGCTTGCTCATGGATGTCTTTCGCCGAGACGGGTATTTGAAGCACTTCGGAAGCACGAGATGCAAGCTGCGACCGCTTCCTCTTACTGGCTGTTGTTCGCACTTCTTGTGCGCGATTTCTTCCGGTTTGTTGCGGTGAAGCATGGCAGCCGCATTTTCCATGGGGCCGGCATCAGCGGAAAAAGGCTTGACTGGTCTGGTGGGGACGAGGAATTTGCCATGTGGACGACGGGACAAACCGGGTACCCGCTTGTGGATGGAAACATGAGAGAGCTAAAGCAGACTGGATGGATGTCCAACAGAGGTAGACAAAACGTGGCGTCTTTCTTAATTTGGGACCTGCAGGTAGATTGGAGGCGTGGTGCGAGGTGGTTTGAAGCGAACTTGATCGACTATGATGTGACTTCGAACTGGTGCAACTGGGTTGCTGCTGCTGGCTTGACAGGGGGCCGGATTAACAAGTTCAACGTGGTGAAGCAGTCCCATCAGTACGATCCGAGTGGCCGCTATCTACGCAAATGGCTTCCAGAGCTCTCCAGCTTGACAGATGAAGAGATTCATGAACCGTGGAAGCTCGCGCCAGAGCGACAGCACCTCGTCCATGACTATCCGAGGCCTTGTGTCGATCCTGGGAAGTTTGCTTTTGCAGTGAAGCAGGCTGCTGGTGCGCGAGAAAAAGCCGGAAAACCGCTCAAGCTTGCTTCGACTCCGCTTCATCCGCTGCGTGAGTCTTCCATGAGGCCTTGGCACAAGCCCGCAAGCTGAAGAGCGGGGTCCTTACTGTTTCTCTGGTCAGTCTGGTCTGTGTTTCATTTGCGCGAGTATTGTGTTGAAGGTCTACACCACATCAAGGAAGCTCTCGAAAAAGCTCAGGAGGTGGTTTGCCCAGTTCATCCTTGCACAGCAGCACTTTCCAGCACTTTTCAACTCGGCAAGGCTGGCCTCACGCACATGGAAATGAAGCAGACGATCGATGCCACGGAGCCCAGTTGTGAACTCCTGTTCAAAGAGAGAGCAGACACCTCTCGCTGCTTCTGATGTTGCCCTTGCTGCGGGCTTGCCGCAACTTGCACAGCTTCAGCGCAGCTTCTGGCTGCTGCAAGGCGCAAAAAGAGATCAAGAAGCAGGATGAGGACGCCTTTCATGCCCCCTCTAAGCCAACTTATCAGACACCCTAAGTATCCTTGCCATCTACGCCCCCAAACCGCGGCTTAGATCAGAGGCTGCCGAGAAGCTGGAAGATGCCGTCGATGCTCGGGATGCCGGCCTGTCAAGGTTGAGGAAGGTTTTTACATCTGCTTTCCACGCTTTTTTGCGCATGTGTTGCATGTGTTTTGCAGACCTGTCCCAAAGAGATCTGGGCAGATGAACCTCACATCTTTTCCATGGGTCATAGTACTGATCGAACCCTTTTTTCCACCCTCTGCCAGGCCGAGAAGCTTCGATGGGCCATCAAATGGGCCAAGGCTGGCGTCGCTCAGGTTTTGTGGATGGGTGGACCAGGCTGACTCTGAGTCAGGATGCGAAAGTCGATGAAGATGACATCGCTGATGCAGAGGAGGTCTGAATGGGCATCTTTAGAGCCGCTCGAGTTCAGACATGCACGCCTAGAATGCGGAGGTCCTGCAAGAGTTGGAGCGGCGCGAGGCTGCCCTTGCGAAGCTGCAAGCAGCAACCTGCCCGCAACGGCCATGGTAATGTAGGCTGCTGGGTGAGCATGTCAGGGCACCCACAAATGGGCATGCCAGCGAGCTTTACAACTCAGCACAGGCTGCACCCTAGCATAAACCCACCCCCCCCCCCCCCAAAAAAAAAAAAAAAGAGGACCCAAATAAGGTACCCCCTCATCTCGCAAACCCGAGCCCTTTCCCAGGCAGAGCAGTCCAGGAACATTGACGCACTGATGGAGGTGCCGGAATTGCAATGCTACAGAGGCTAGAAACATGGGGGTTTACGATATTAGTTACCTTATTGGGGGTCCTTATTATGAAGGGAATCCCACTATGTGGGGGTTTATATTAGGGGTCCCTGATTATTGTAAACCCCCCCAATGGTGCCCTATTCAAAGAGGGCATCCTTCTTGCTCGTGCCAGGCCCTGAAGTTTGCCCAGGCTGATCTGGAGGAGGAGCCATTTGGGCAGATGCTTGGCACGTGCCTGTGACGTGGGGCATATGAGGGGGGTATGATGCTATGCGGCATGCGATATGGGCTCTGGACTCTGTACAAGTCGAGGAGGAGCTGGAACCCTACGAAGAGGTCGCTGTTCAGCTGCTTTGTGCAAAGAAAGCATAAGTTGCTATGGCAATATCATCTTTTGCAGGCCCTTCTGGAGGAGCGCCAAAGACTCGCGCGAGCTGAGCTGGCTAAGGCGCCAGCTGAGGGTGGAGCTGGCAAGAGCACCCTTAAATCCCCTACGTGGGTGTGGCAGGCGACTGCGCAGCGAGACATCGCAGCACTATTCTCAAGCCTTGCTTTGAGCATGACATGACTGTGCTTCAGCATCCATACTACGCATTTTATCTAAAGACAGCGAGGCGTTGAAGGAAGCCCTGAGGTTAGCAGAGTGGCAAGCTCAGATCGGGCTCGGATGATGGTGGAAATTGAATTTCCAGTTCTTCTGCCCATGCAGCAGCCACTATCAGCCGCTTCTGTGGGACTCAATTCGCTGTATAAGGTCCTTAAGGGAGGGGGCCTTCAAAGGGCGGTACGTAACCATGAACCTTCCTCCCTTAAGAACCCTATATGAGCCACTCAGGGAAGGCGAGATGGAGGATTCCGAGGAAGCCTCAGAGGGACACCGAGTCCTTGCCGAGGAGCTGGTGCTACAGGCACTTTCTTTCCTTTGGTTCAAATGTAACGTGTGTGTGTGTGTGTTTTTCCATGCATTTGCCACACTAAAGTAATCTCGGCTTGATCTCGTATACGGTTCACGGATGGCCCTGACGACAGAGATCCCCGACCCTGAAGCTACGAGCTCAGACGAAGACCTTGTTCGTCAGGGAGCCGAAGCACGCACTGCCTCTTTGTGTCAAAGAGGCTGCGCATGCAGCGCCTGCTTCGGCTTCCTGGCGAAGTAGGGCTCCGTCGTCCGAGCTCATAGCTTCATTTGCACTTCCCACGCAGCAAAGTCTGCTGCACGCGAACGGGAGAACAGATCTCTGACCTGGCACGCGCAAGCTGTGCACTTCGGCATATCCTCTGCCTCCAACTTCACTGCAGCTTCCTCCGGCCCGGTATGTGTGATGCGGCAATGTGTGCCGGAAGGTAGGAAGATCCCTGAATTGCAGTCTCATCAGCCAACACACTATGTGGAACCGCATATTTGTGGGAGCAGCTCGTCTTCATCGTGCTGGCTACACAACTTGAAGACTATCTGCACTGCATGCGTGCTCATTGGACGGAGCTCGTCTCCGGACTGGATGGACTATTCAGACGCCCATGCTGTCTAGGAAGCTGCCGGCGAAGGTCAGCTCAACCCCCGAAGCACCCAAGCAACGGGTGTTTGCGGAAGAAAAAGACCAACAGCTGCAGACACAGCTCTACATGCTTGACGGAGCCACAGGCGCTGACGGGCCGGGTGGCTTGCCACAAACTGCGGGCGGCGGTTGAGGCTGGGGGCGCTGTTGTCAGCGTATCTCTGAGTGTGTCAAGGCATATCAGTGTGTGTGGCAAGTGTGTGGCAGCATGGACAGTGACCAGCAACAACTTGCTACACGCAGTCGTTGTATTTCGCATCGCTCGGTTTTTTAAAGCATCGATCTGCGTCCACATTGGGGAACTGCATTCCCCAGAGTATATCTCTTGATTGGTCAAAGTCGGCCTCGTTGTCATGGATCGGCGTCCACATTGGGGAACTGCATTTTCCAGGGCAAATCTCTTGCTGCGTCGAAGTCGGCCTCGTCGTCATTTACACAGCATCTACATGGTCTTTTGCATGTTGGCAGTGCTTACAACCCTAGACTTGCGAGTTAAGTAGCGGACGATTGCTGGGGGTGGTCTCGGTCACCCTGATCGCCGCCGCGACAACTCGACCAACCCCCGGGCAGTTTAGGTTTAATCGAATGTGGGATTCCTCAGATAGTTGACTTTCTAGCATCTCACTGATGACTAGCTGTTGAAACATAGTGAAAATACACTGAAAACATGCTGAAAACACTGGCGTCCGCAGCAAATCCGGCAGTTCTACCCATGTTGCCTGTTTGTCCTGATGTGTAATTCCGCCGCTGATGTGTCTTCCCGCTATGTAGCATCCACAATGGGGTGGTGTGTATTTCTCGCGACCTGATGTCGCTGCTAGTATCGAATTTGGAATCTTAGTTGTCTTAGCTTTCATAGTTTTTTTCATGCTTTCAGGAAGCCTTGGAATGGGCTCCGGACTTCGATCGCTTGGAGGGCCGCAGCCTTTTGAGTCCTGAAGCTGGTTCGCGGAGAAAACAGCAGCGGTAGATGCTGGCTGTGGTGCTGCAGGTGCACAACAGGTTCTTGCCCAGGAGGAGAAGCGAGATGCTGCAAGAGCTGCACTGCAAGGCGCGCTGTTCCTCAGGTCAGAGGAAGCAAATTTCCGCCCAAGTGCTGCTGAGAGCAGGCACGCTCGCCACGAAAGAGCCGACGAAGCTCGCAGCTGCAATAAGGCCGAAGACAGCAGACAGGAACGGAGGAGTGTTGACAATGGACATCCTTTTCCCAGTTTTGCCAGGAATGGGAGAGAGGCTGGACTGGAGGCCATGATCATGCATCAAAACCGTATGCTGTTGGGGCAATTGGAGCCCCTAACCTTGAATAGGATTGGGAAATGAGAGGCGTCGTGCGGGTCTCGGGGTCGGCAAGTCTTCATTCTGGACAACTGCAGAGTTCCAAGCACTTGACATGGGAACGTTGGCACTAAGGAAAGGGTGCTTGATGGCATCCGGCGTGAGCTCCTAGACGACTTAGCTAGAGATGTCTGCTAGTGATGTGGCAACTCTTCCGCTCCTTAGCTTTGCTCCTGTCCGAGCCTAAGCCTACAGTCAAAACCGCTCAGCTTCGCTTTTTCTAAAGAGCATTCTGTGCTGCGATGGACATTTGGGAAAGGCTGCTCCTCCGTAGCGACTGCAGCCTTGCCACGTTAACGACTCTTGCATGAGTTTCACAAACCGAACTCGCTCTGGGCAACGCTTTGCCATGCGAATGGGGCATTGCCTGGTCTGTTCCGGGAGGGGCCGCGGTGGACGGGCTCCATCATGCACACGCCGCTCGATGCGCCGCTTTGCGTCCGCCTGCGAAAATGTGCCGAGCAGGCATGAGTTTTGCATTGCACAACAGGGGAGTTTACGATAATGGGGGACCCAAGAACAGACCACCAAATAGTAAGATTCCCCTTGCAATGGACCCCAACAAGGTACCCCTAATTCCGGAAACCCCATATTGCACACTAAGAGTACTGCCAGAGCTTGCCTGTCAACGTCCTGCTCGCAGCGACATTTTTGGGCTCCCCCTGGAAGCCTTCAGAGACCAACATCAAAAATGGGGGGCGGCGGAAGCAAGGCCTTGCCCTGAGACTTTAGGGTTTAGGGTTTAGGTTTTCGGCTTTAGGGTTTAGGGTCTGACATTATCAGTTTTGTAAGCAAGGGGCCTCTTCTTTCGTAAGGCTACGGGTCGAGTCGGAAGTGCCTCTTGCACTTGAGTCCAGGGGTGAAACGGTTTGGTGGCCTTGTATGAACTGACCATCTGACATTCCAAAGTCGCTTTGCATTCAGCAGGTCGGAGGAAATGAGGCAAGGACCGAGAGCGGATGTCGCCTGATGAGGTCAATTGGAAGGAGAATGTCCCATCTCCAGCAGATCCATCGCTGAAAAGTGTTGTGTCCGAGCCGCTGGATGAGCCGGGCGCTTTGCTGCATCCGATGCGTTGTGTGTGTGTGTGTGCTGACTATTTTTAGATAGTTTTAGTGCAAGCCCCGCCGCTGAGGGTCAAGTTCACTGATGAAGCCTTTTGGCGAGTCCTGCTCCGTTTCCTGCAGTCTAGAGATCTTAAGCGTTCTCATCAAACTGTCGGCTACTCCAGACAAGCACCAAATGGCGCTTGATGCCAGGAAGCACCTCGGAGCCTTGAAGCGAGAGGCTCTGCCGCTGTCGCGTGCCAAGACCAGACACGGGTTACATGAGTTGTGCGGACTAGGCAGACATTGTCAGTGCAAGGGGCACGGAGGCAATGTCTCCACATGACACGAATTCAGGCCTCTATTTGCGAAGGCGCTGGGCGTGCACGTGGCCAAGCACGAGGTGACTGCCCGTTCCTCAGATATTTCCTCAACCTCGAACTGGCAATGGAACCTGGAGAGTTTGTCGTTAGGAGTTTCTGAGGATAGGGATGACGGGACCTTCTTGGTGACCACAACTATTGGTGGCTACTACGGCGGCGAGCGCCGGTCTCAGCTCGAGACCTCGGCTGGAGAGTGTGTGAACAAAGACCCCTTGCAGCTGCTTGTTTTTTGAACTGGCAGGGTGGACGTGAATTTCGTGCACAGCTACGATCCAGACACGAACACTTGGGCCAGCTCCCCAGAATTGAAGACTGCTGTGGCGTACCTTGCGCGGTGGTGCCTGGGAGCATGGACAGAGACTCCGCAGACAAGTCTCGGCCCTGGCCTGAGACGCAGAAGTGCGACCGTGACCCGGGCCTCCAGAAAGTGAGCAATGCAGTGGGCTTTCGGCTGCCTTCTCGGAAAGCTCTGACAGAGTTCCGCAGATTCCGTGTAGCTCCAGTGGGATTAAAGTCATTAAAGTGGCATCTGGATGAGGCTCCATGAGTCGCCTCGAACTGTTCCTGCCTCGTCGATGTCGCGGCGCTTTGTGTTCCGCTTCAGTCCCCGGAACTGCAGATTGAGATGTGGGCTGTGAACGAGCCTGCGCGGAATTCCGGTGTGGAGGCCGGGTCGCTTGCAAGCAAAGCCATCTCTGGTCATCCGGTGTCAGATGCTAGGACTGCTAGGAGAGCTGGGAGTCAAAGAAGGGCTGAACAACCGTGGGCTTGTCGCCTGGCATCCAGGTGGTTGCTGGCCTCAAAGGATCCGCAGGCCACTGGCTTGTCCTGAGTGTTCATGGCTGGTGCTCTCTCCTTGGCCCGCAGGTGCGGCGATCTATTCCCTCACTGAGAAGGAAGTGGAGATTGATGCCAAGGCCAGCCAGAATCTAGAGGAAGGGGCACTATCCGGAAAGCAGGCCCTGTGGAACAACATGGTCAGTTCTCAAAATTATGGCACCTTTTTGGGTATCCAGTCCGCTTCTGCTCAGAAAGTTCTTCTTACCTGAAAGATGATTCGTGGCCCGGCAGCCTGAAACGACTTTGCTGCAACGGTATGCCCACAAAACCAGGCGAAACTTTCTATGTCGGCAGACGTTCAGCCACCCACGGCCGGTGTGTACAAAACTCGCATCCTGACTCTCGCCGGAAGCCTCAAGATGAAAGCTGCTGACCGGTATTCTTAGTTTTTTGTTTCTCTTCAGCTCTCAGACTAGATCTTTGAGGGTGTGCGTGGAGATGGTGTTGTGGAAGCAGGGGAATGTGAAGCAGTGACAGGCCGACCAGCCCTCCAAAGATGGATCTGGTGCCTGACCGAGCTAGATGGCAATCGAGTCCTGGTGGAGAGTTGGCTCATCTGCTCGTCTCTCACATGGGCTCAAGGAAAGCTTGTCGCACAATCCGGGCCGGTGGATGAGTACTTCAAGAGTGGGGGTCTCAGTCACTTTCGGGTCGTACGTCGCGACTGCCTTCTCACTCCAAGGCCCTGAGCAGTTCCTTGAGATTGCGAAGAAAGCTGTGAAGGAGGGCAAGGTCCTGGCACTTGCTTCCACAAATTTGTATGCAGATCTCGCGCAGTTGCAATGTCAGGGCGTGCCCCATATTGTCCGCCTCCTACCTTGTTGCATGCGAACTGAATAGCCTCATGCTGCTTTCTGTATCTACTGCAGGTGGAGTTTGAGGTGCTCGAGGAAACGGATGGTGTCGTCAAGACCAGGGACCTCTCGAAACAGTTGAGTCGACGGTGTGCAAAGTGACAGATTCACTGGTGCGTGGTGGGGTTGGTCCTCTTTTCCCAAAAGAGTTGAAAACTAGAGCGCGTTACTTCCTCTGAGTCTTTTTGCAGGAGGTCATTGATACTGACGGAAGTGGTACCACAAAGGCTCCTCATCGCAGACTGGCCACGGAATCATACTGCTTGTGTTTCATGTCTCTACTCGTCGACATATCAAATCCCAGGTGAACTTCATGCATCATGCCTTTGACATGGCAGCGGGCACATCCGTTTCTACGACCTACAAGGCAAGAACGCCCTGGCCGCAGCTTGCAAAGCTTTGCGCCGCCAGCCAACGAGGATGACACCTTTGCCACAGCACTGAGCTCTTGGCACACGAAGGTGCAACTCGACAGTCAAACCCACGAAGGCTTTGCTCCCGACATTGCTAAGCTCAGATCTACTCCGGACCCATGATCTTGGAGATGTACAGCGAGTGCGCTCCCTCAGCTGTGAACCACGGTCCATAGGACTCCGCATGGACTGTGCTACTGGGGGTCCTGTGGGGTACTGCGTGTCTGTCGCACCAGGGCGTTTCCTGTCCGACATGCTGGCGCAGATGTGGTGAGAAACCTCGCACCTCAGGCCACGTGCGATGCCAGCCGAGTTTGAAGGGCTTTTTGACCGATTGGACACTGCTGGTGGACTTTGGGCTAGTTAAGTCATCCTCGCGCAGGTTGAGGCAGTCCTGGCCAAAGCTGTGGAAGAGACCGCGGCAAGCAGCTGAGGCCCGACGTCTGCAATCATCTGCGCATTTATGACCATGGAAGGCCCCGAATCTGGTTCGGTTCGGCCTTGGCCTGATTGTGCAGGCAGTGGTCCGAGAGCTGAACTGGGCACAGGCAAATCGTTTGGCGTCGAAGTGTCAAAGATAAGCTGCAGTTTTCCGTCCCCTGGAGCTGTTGGTTCCTGCACTGATGTGCTTGGGGCCAACTGAAGTTTTGAAGGGGCGAACATAGCGGAATCAAGACTTACCTTTTGTAAAGCCTCTCGAGAGCTTCGCGCCCAGCGGAATCCGCTACTAGCCAGACTAGCACACGTCTGCTTCCCAATGGCATTTCCCAGGCTGGAGAAACCCTTCGAAAGTTGAAGCAAAGTCTGCTACGAAGGTCCTGAAAGGCCCTCCACCGGAAATGCGCTCGTAGAAGGGAGGCGGACAAGTAGCCGAAAGAGCTGCAGCACGTCCTCCGGCGCAAACCACGAAGATTTTGAGGTTAAGGCTAAGGGTTGAGTCCCCGAGCTTTTGTAAGCCCTGACTCTCAGCTCTTGGGACGTCTTGACTTTTCGGGCTCAAGAATTGAAACACCAGCAGAAGGTTTCCCTTCCAGCTTGAGCCTTCAGTTGGCTTGGGCCAACTTTGGCGACTTGGCCGACTTCGGGCGAGCTGGGGCACTTCTTATGAGTCTATGAGTCTGGCAATTGAACGCTCTGACAGGGTCAGAATTCATGTTGCCCGCGGTCCATGTCGGATTCTACAGTTCAGACAAGATAGCACACCATTCTCCACACATTCCACACAAGCGGTGCGCAAAGTTCAGCCGAGCCGTTGCAAAGCCTGTCCTAGCTTCGTTGCTGGCCTCGGCAGCCTGTGTTCACCTGAAATGTGGGCACTTTGCAGCCCGTTCAAAGGCGCTCAGGGGACGGAGACCTTGCGTGACCTTCTGTAAGCCGGCAGAGCTCCAGGAGCTCCCACCTCGAAAGCTCGTCGTGATCTCAGGCACGCCATCATGGACAGAGAAAGTCGGGAGAGAAGCTCTTGAAGTCATGGAAGCACGGGCCACGCGCTCGGGCCGCAAGTTGAGGGCACTGATTGCCTATGACTTCCGGGCGGACAAGCCGCCGCCTGCCTCTGAGTGGATGGGCCAGGAGATCGATGCCGCATTGCTCTCAGTCCAACGGTTGAACTTTCTTGACACCTTTGGAGCAGTTTGTGGAGCTCTTCGAGGTGGAGGGGTGCTTCTTCTTTGTACTCCAGAGCTGGACAACTGGAAAGCTTCTTCTAGCGCCGGAAGACGGTGGTGTCGGGAGATCGAGACCCTGGCATCAGAAAGCTATGCAGCTTCGGCTTCCTTCATCAGCCAGCAAACGTGGCAGACCTCCGACCTGGCTGAGAGCCTGAGCTCTGTCATGCCTGTTTGGCCCAAGGGCACCAAGCTTGAAATGGCCGCAACAGCTGATCAGCAGCGCATCATCGAAGCAGTGCTGCAAACGAGCAGCGCCAGTCCACTGCTGATTTCAGGGAGGCGCGGTAGGGGGAAGTCTGCTGCACTTGGCTTGGCTGCGACCGTCCTGCTGCGGCGTGGCTGCGAGAAAATCCTGGTGACTTCTCCGTCCATAGAGTCCACGAGACAGCTTTTTGATTCGGCTGAGCGTGCCGCCCGATCTGTGTCCACTGAGCTGCGGGTCTCGCGCAAAGATTCCGGAACGCTGGAAGTTGGACAGGTTGGATGCTTGACCTTTGTTTCAATCAGTCAGCTTCTTGGTAGCACGGGCCATGACTTATTGCGCAGCTGTCAGTACCTCTTCGTGGATGAGGCAGCGGGGATTCCTGTTGCAGAGGCCAGGCGCCTCCTTATGAGGACTCGGCGGGTGGTCATGGCAACGACCCTGGATGGCTATGAGGGGAGTGGCCAAGGATTTCTGCTGCGAGCATTGCCTGCACTTCAAAAGACCAAGCGAGACCTCCGCCATATCCAGCTGACGACACCACTACGTTGGAGAGCCGGCTGGGTTCTCAGTGGCCTGTGTTCAATCGGGCAAGTGGTTATGGCTGAGGTCGTGTTGGGTTGTAGATGCGGGCAGAGTCCGAAGGCTGATGTGCTGACGTGCCTGCAGCTGGTTCAAGCTGACGCTTGCATGATTTCGCACACGATTCTAGTCTCCGACAATGACGAGCTCCGCTGCCAAAAAGAGCATTGATTGATCAACGAGGCAGGATCTGTCTAGCCTACTGAATCAACCCCTTGTGCTGCATTGAGACGCCAAAGCAGCATGGGAAATCTGGCAGGCCAGTCTCGGGCACGTTTCCGTTCACAGTTGTTGTGCCCAATCCTTCATCTGAACTGCAGGCAGAAGTGCCACAGCAGACGGAATCTCTCTTGAAGAGATAGAAAAGCACAACACAAAGGAGTGACCCATATCTTTGCATGCGTGATTCCCTGTGACTCACAGACTCACAGAGTTTAGCCAGGACGATGCGTGGATGGTTCTGTTCGGGGAAGTGCTGGATGTAACGAAGTTTCTTCCAATTCATCCCGGCGGTGCCTTTGCTGCAATTGCGTGTTGATGCTATGCAGTAGAGATTTTGTGCCGGGCTGACACATGTCACAGACGCTACAGTAGCGTGCGCTCTTGACATGCGCCAGTCCTTTGGACAAGTTCGTTGCCCAGCAGGGTGTTGTCTGTTTTTGCCGCGTTTCTGTGCGTCTAGTCCTTTCTCGAAGCACGAGGCATTAAGCACCCGAGTTTCTTGAGACTATCTACACATTGCTTTTCCAGCACCTTGCAAGTGCATGGCTGATTGATGAGGACTGGCGCATTGCAAGTAGATGTACATATTGCTTGCTCAAGGGGGAAATGCGGCCTTGGCGGCGCGTGTCGCACATGTCATTTCTTCTGTTTTTTGCCCTGAAATCTGTGTCCACTTGTTTCCTTTGGCGGCGATATGTTTTCATATTGTCGAGTGACATTGCCAATTGCTGGTTGGCAGTCCCATCCTTTATGGCAACTGCACCAAGGAGAAGAAGCTATTGACATGTGCCTTGCTGGCAATGGTTCCATGGTCGGCCTGTGAGAGAGATTGTTCAACAGTTCGCGCGCCGCAGAAGTGTCAGGTACCTTGGACGTGATGCAACAGAAGCCTGGGTGGAGATTCATACCCCAGAGACGCTTGAAAGGACCCTGCCAGCACACAGTAAGAGGTCTGCGATAGAGCATACAAAAATGTTTGCGAGTGTCCACATGTGAAAACGTAGCAGTCAGGAATCTGCAGCACATCACCAAAGTCGGCAAAATCCAGGCTGGTGCCTTTGTTCGAAAGCCAGCAGCTAGCCGCGTTCAAGTCATGGCACGGCGGCAAGAGAGCAGTCGGTTTAAGGCCCGTGGTGGTTTGATTTCCTGGCTGTTTAATCGGATTACGGCACCAAGCACGGCTCCCGGCAATTGAATATGTGCCGCAGTGACTTCTGCTTCCCTATGGCGAATTGTGCCCCTAACCGAGGTGCTCCTCCGCCCCAGTCTGCACCTCAAGTGACGCATGTGCCCTTCTCGAGCCCTTGAGTCGTCATCCCGCCCGTCATCGGGATGCCAAGGGCTGCCCCTGTAGATCAAGATCAGGAGGAGGAAGCAGATGACAGAGGCGCGCAGCATGTCGTCGGGCCTGTCAATGCATCCCTGCATAGGGATGCACAGAGGGGCTCGCGCCAGGTCTGCAATTCACACCTGAGTTCGAAGAGGACAGCGCTGAAGCTCACCTGGTGTAATCTTGCGCCCCAGTGCGTCACGCCACAAGGAGCTGAAAGCCCTGAACGGCACCTTCACGCTGGAGTCCCTGCAGCGCTGGAACGGAGTGCAGCGGAAGCCTTAGGAGCCTTCGGAGAGCTCTCCAGGAGCCGGGTATTCCGAAGGTAGGTCTCAACTTCGTCTCGAGGCTGCCCATGCTCATTAGCATCTGTGGAGCGGTGGTGGATGCAACTTGGCTGTGAACAGCTCTGTCTGTAGATGTTGAATGGTGGGTTTGGGGTTTCGAGTTTAGGTTTTGGGGAAGCCGCAGGCCAGAGGCATGATAGTGGACTGCATCTTTTCCCCAACCGCGGAGTCCAAGGCATAGCCGGAAATGAAATGTTCATTGGTTTCCTGAGTTTGAGGTGTTGAGTGAATTTAATTTATGTTTAGGGTTTATGTTAGGGTTACTAGTACCCAATTCGGGCCCTTGTTTTTGTTTGGGAAAAGGTGTCCTTGAACGCCTTGACATGTAAGGATACCGAGGGTTGAGGACCGTCTCGCACGAAAAACAAAGGGCGCAAAAATGGGTACGCAGAATATATGGTACGAAATGGACTCAGCGAAGATCCATTTGTTGAGATGATGTTCATTTAACCATGGAGTTTGCATTGTTAGCTGCTGTCAGTTTGCTCAGTTGGTTTTCATTTCTGTCCGCTCATAAGCATACTCGCGAATTTTGATAAGCACTTTAACAAAACTTCGTGCTCTATCACTGTTCTGAATTATGATTACACAATGGCCTTTACGTAGCTGATGTTTTCTAAGAGTGTATAGCTAAGAGTGTATTTAACTGAACTTTTTTTGTAACATAGTATGCTTTCAGCCGAGCATCTCTGCAAAACTTCTTTATTTGATCGGTCTTGTCACGCATATCGGTATATGAACAAGGCGTGTTTAACACACCTTGGCCGCATGGCACTGGCGCACCGAACTCAACCGTAAACTCCCTAAAACTTAAAAGCCCCCAAAGTCCAAAAAAAGATCTTGCCTAAGCTCTATGAAAAACTGGCAACGCGTCCTTGAGTGGCTCTTGTTGCAAACAAGCTGAGTCAGGTCTTTTGCATGGCATGACACCCACAGAATGCAAGTTTAGCGCTGCCTATGGTGTCTTCGAGGTTTTGGCAACAGCGCACATGTGTGGGAGGGGTCCACAAATCAGGCCTGTTGTCGTCGGGTGCATCATTTTTGAACGCACTGTGAAAGGAATGCATCGAAAAGCAGTTTGGACATCAGCCGTTTCAATGACGTCACACCAGAAGCCTACGTGAAACCCAAACCCAAAACCTTGAAACCTACGGCCATTAAGCCTCAACCCGAAGCTCTCAAACCTAAACCTTCAAGCCGGAAGGAACCCTTGCCATCCAGCAAAAAATAGAACGTCTCGAAACCACATGCTTTTCGCAGGAGCCACTCGTGGGCGTGTCAACTGGGGCCTTGAAACCTTTAAAAACTCCAAAAATCGGGGAGGACGCTCGCAGCACCATCGTGCATCGATGCACTGAGTGAGAAGTGATGCCCCCCATCTTCAGGTATCTCCCAGTGAGAACTTCGTTCCGACTTTCGGCTACGGAAAGCTGTGGGCCGGAAAGGAGGGGGTGGCATCACAGAAAGCATTGCCCAATGCTGCATATCAGGCATGTCACGGCACGTGCAGGAGTGTACCTGGGCTATGGCAACAGACTCTTGCAAGCACTTGGACTCTTTGGTGATGTTGTAGGTGCCGTAGCTTGCTCCTAGTGTGAATGGCCGCCGATGTGGGAAAGACTTACCTCGGCTGGAGGTGTCCCTAAAGGCAGATGATGCCAACCGTTTCGACTTCAAAGTGCAGGAGATGTAACCAACGTACGGTTCTGCATACGTGCGTGCAGCTCCCAGAGCGATGTTGCGCAGACACTATACGTCATGATTCGCACACCACGCAGGAGCTGGAGGACATGCAGTTCAAGTCCCTCGCTGGTTGGTACAAGCATTTCACCACCAAGTACCGGCAGGCATGCGGTTGGGCCGCTTTACAGTACCTGATCCCTGATGATTCCCGAGATTTTCTTCATGAGCCAAGTTTGGCGTCCCAGTAGCTGCGCAGAGCATCCGTCTGGCAGTCTGCGCATAGCATGCAGAGCAGACCCAGAGGTCGGAGTACTGGAGGAGATGAAAGACTGGGATTTTACCGCCGTCATCAAAGAGGCGCTGAGGGGACATAGGGGACAAAGTTCAGTACGGCATGGGCCGGCATGGGGTGCAGACTTTGAAAAGCAGATGCAAGGCCAACGGAACAGCCGAACCCGAGACCTGAGCTTGCCACATGTAGACGTAGGGTTTCACCTTTCCGCACGATCCACACGGCTCTGTTTTCCTTTCTAGTCTTGCCGTGTTCTGATCGGGGCAAGCCAGTCTTGCCCGAACTCCGCGAGTTTTGACCAGTTTGGGCCAGGCTTGACCTGTTCAGTGAGGAAGGCGTTTCCTCCCACATGTCGCATTCCAGCCAGCCAGCAGCAAGCTTTTGTACAGGCTGTGTTCGCCATCCTGTGATGAAGCAGGATCTGGAGTGTTGGTGCAAGAAAGATTGGCAGAAGACCCAAAGGCATGCAGTGAACGTGGCTTTCTGCTGCATACAATGCAGCACATGCTGAGGCTGTCCCCTGGAACACTTGTCCAACACCCTGCTGATGCTCAACGTCACAAGCTCAGCTGCACTTTGCATGATTGCACACCTTGATGATGGGCTGTACTCGGCTCGATGAAATGAGTGTTCGGCAGGTTCAACCTGATTTTCAAGAGCAGTTTCGGCTGATATGTCGGGTGGGTTTTTAGTCGCCTGGACTTGCGGCAGCAGGACTTGATAACTGGAGGTCCATGTCCGTTGCTTGAGCATGTGTCGAAGTAGCTTCAGTAACACAGACACAAACAACCACACGACCAGACACAACCACACACAGACACCGTGATAGATGTTGGCCCCATAACTATATACGCTTGAGACCCTGGTCTTTCTTCATCGCGTGCTCTGGCTCTGTCTCGTAGCATAGGCACATCGGTGCGGCAAAGTGCTGGACTTCAGTCTCATCACAAATTACCCAGACACTCATGCAGACACAGTTTGGAGAGATCAGGTTATGAAGTTGATATGCTAATGACTTAGCACAAGCCTTCATGGCAAGCATCAGTTGAAGCAAATGTGTGTTCATGTCGGATGTCATCGGCACCGGCATCGCAGGATCCGTCAGCTGTCAGCCTTGTTCGGTTCATCTCACGTCCAGAATGCTCTGATTTGCGATTGGAGGAGACGGCTTCCGAGCCACGCATGCGGGAGTAGCACGGAGGCATCCAGGAAGAAGCGAAAGATGTGCGAAGCGCAAAACCGTGCAGACGTGGTGCGCTTCTGTGTTCTCTGTCTGCGTCTGTGCGCCGCGCTGTGT